CTGGGAAAGGAAGCAGCCTGCGCCTGCCCCTCCCCGCTTCCGGGGTACTAGGACATGTCCAGGCAGGTCTGAGGCACTTCTTGTAGAAATTGCTGAATGCCTTGTGGCATGCTGCCAGTGCAGGAAGGAGCTGGTAGGCAAGTTGAATGTGTGGGGTGATGACTCTTGGGATTTCAGGTGCAGTACTTTGCCCCCTTACCCCTACCCAGGCCTCTCACTCAACTGCGTCCCAAGATGACCTCAGCATCTTCCCCCAAACCTTGGGTTTTCAGGGATGCATAGGAGTTCTCCAGGCATTAATGGGGGAGGGGACTTCCAGGCAGAAGAGACAGCCTGGGATCAGCAGAGACATGGGAACAGGGGTTCAAATATGCAGCCGAAGAGTATAGCTTTCTCCTGTGGACGAAGAGGAGCCATCAGGGGTGTGTGAGAGGTGGGGAGTGGACCAGGTAGATCCCCAGAATGGGGATCTAGGAGGGGGCAGAAAGGATGAGACTGGTGTCCCAGACTCTTGCCTCAGAGTAAGACTGAGAATGTCCAGGCAGGAACTGAAACTGTTGAATGGGGCTAAGCGCGGCCTCTCCAAGCATTACCCTAGAATGAACTCTCCCCATCTGTTTTGCATCCCTCAGCTGACTGTGTCCTCATCACAGCTGGGACCTCTGCACTGTGCTCCCAGCTTGGGGCCCCCATCACAGCTGGATCCCCGGTGTGTCCCGAGCCCAGGGCACAGCTCACAGTAGGCACTTCGTAAGTGCTCAGCGCAACCACAAGGAGATGGGGCTCTAGAGGCAGGGAAGAGGCGGGATAGCAGTCACCGCTGAGGAGGAGCCTGGCCCCCTGTGCAGCTTGTCTTCTGTTCCCTGGAGGCTCTGACGCCTCCCTGCGCCCTCTGCTGGCTACAGTTTGGAAAGCCAGCACTAAGCCCTCTCCTCCTGCATATTGCACACCTGTTTCGCGCCCAGCGCTGTACTGGGTGCAGAGGACTCAGGGGACCCCAGGCAAACCCGATCACCCTCCCCAACTCCCATGGAACCAGTTGGTTACTACCCAGAGTATGTGACTTGGTGGAGGGCGGGGCACCTAGGCAGCTGTGAGAGCCAGAGGAGGGACCTGGACAGACAGGAGGGCTTCCTGGAGGAAGAAGTAAATAAATTGCATTTATTAAGCAACCACTATGTGCCACCAGTTAAGGGCCATCAAAGGAGACTCTCACTGAATTCTACAAAAGCTCCACGAGTATAGGGAAACTGAAGCTCAAGAAGGCAGTCCTCTCCTGACTTCTCATGACCCTTAGAATAACATGCAGACCTCTCCCCCAAGTCTTGAGGCCCTGTGTCATCAGCCCTGTTACCTCTCCCTCACCCCTCCACACACACCCTCCAACTAGATCACCCACTCCCCACTACACACAGCCTTGTCTCTTGGCTTGCAACACAAGGGAGTAGTTGGGGCTTTTCCTGAGCAGAGCAGCCAAGGGGAGGTAGGGGTTCCCATGGGGCCAAGGAGGTTAGGGGAGGTTTCCAGAATTTGGTGAAAGGATCCCCCATCTAAAAAGGACACACTGAATACCCCAGTTGCTCCCAACAGCCACAAAAGCATCCAGATGGCACTCCTGGGTCTGCAGCCCACACCCTGGGGCCAGGAAAAGAGTGGCTTTAGGAGCAAAACCACCAGCCATGGACACCCCCTCCTAGGGGTGCAAAAACCATGGATACCCCGGGACTTTGAAGAGTTTCCCACTCCCTTGGGAGCAATGGTCCCCGAGACAAGACATGGTAGGTATTGCTGAAGCCCCTTTGGTTTCAAAAGTTTATTCTTTGAAAGCCACTGACCCTGGAGTGTCCTCATTCCTGCTGAGGACAGACAGAGGGGAATGATTGAGTCCTGTTTCTAGTCTTCAATCTGTTCAGCTTCAGGGCAGCCAACTTGGGTTTACATTCTAGCTCTTTTTCTTCCTGGCCATGGCATGCAAGACAAGGGGCTTCAACTGGCAGAGCCTCAGTTTCCCCATCTGTAAAAAGTGGTAATGGCATCCTTCACAGGGTTGTGTGAGTGGGAATTCTTCACATGCTAGGGGTGTCTACACGATCATAATTCAAACCCCAGAGCCATTCCCCTTGTTGTGTGACCACAGGCAAGTTACTCAACAAAGGCAGTGGATTGTGAGGAGGGAGAACACAGAACAGAAATCCTCTCATCATCATTCATTCAGCAGATTAGTAGCAACCGCCACAAACTGGGCCCCAGGTCACACACCAAGAACAGAAACCCTGGTGATTCTCCTCTGCCCACTGACATCCCTAGGCTGAGGGTGACCCTGGGGGATGCCAGCTTCTTACAAAGACACGCAAGAAATCACATATCTCAACTGGTTTATTTGCTTTCTGGGGTGTCAAGTTTGGGGTCTCCCAGGGCCCAGCCCCCAGCAAAGTCCAGCAGACATTTCCCCGGCCTGGGGTCCCAGGCATGAGGGTTGCGGACAAGGCACTCACAGGAACTCGGGGGTTCAGGGAGAAGCCATCCTGAGAGTACGGGGGCCACACCCTCTGTTGGGGACAGAAGACATGGTCACCTTGGGCAGGATTTTCCTAGAGAGAGATCTAGGACAAGATAGAAACCTGAGATGTTGGGGGAGCCCCAGAAACACACTAGATACCCCCCTGGGCAGGTGGAAAACCAACTCCGCTTCCCACGACCCAGGTGAGGCCTCCCATGGTTCGAGGATTCCACAGGCCTTGGGAGATGAGAGCCTGTTCCAAATCGGCTGTCTATGGGATCTCCTAGAGACAAAGTGTGTACAATATAAAAGCTGCTCCCCGCAGGCCCCATCCCTGTGAACAGCTTGACACTTCCCGTACTGGGCAGTCGGGAGCCAGGGCCACCTCCCCGAGCATGGGGTCCTGTCTCCCTTCTCTGGGCCCCATGCGTATGGGAGAGGCAGGCACTTCTGTGAATCTCTGGGCAATAGAAGGGAAGGCTTGGGTGAGGAGAGGGAGGATGAGAAATGGATTTTTCTTAAGGGGGCGCTGGAGTACAGCTCAGGGCTGGATTGAAGCCCCTTAAGGTCTGGGTACCCCAGACACTAAGCTTGTGACAGCTGCCTCTGATCCAGAGTACAGGGCTTCTTGATAGGCATGTTCAGAGTCCATCTAGGAATGAATTTTCAAGGTATGCCATTGGCATAAGCCCCCAACCCCAAACAACTGTTGTGCTGTGGGCCTAAGAGGGCCTCTAACATGCTTCCTCACCCAGAGGTAGTTCCGGGACCTTAGGAGGCACTCATTCCTGCAGAAGGGAAATTTAATCTGGGATATGAAAACAAAGCCCTTTTTGGCTCCTCTAAGCCTGTGGATGCCATGGAGGTTGGGGGGCAATCTGGCACTGCCTCTGCCCCTATGACCACCATCAACACCCCATGCTGGCTACAGGCTCACCAGGGCTTCCAGCGGTCTCCAGGTGGAGGATGGGGCCACAGAGAAGAATGGGACTTTGTCCCACCATCCCCAAAGGGGACTTCTGGGTTCAGACACTCCAAGGGGCGGAGAGGTCAAAGGTCAACTGTCTAGACAGTGGCAGCAAAAAAGAGGCCTGTGTGGTGGGCGGATTTCCCCAGCAGCGCCCGTTTCCTGCCTGGTCACTCCCGGGGGCACAGCCATGCTGGTGGACACATACCCCAGCTGGACTAGCTTCCAGGCAGAAACTTCTAAGATAATAACAAGGCATCTGAAATCTACTTTTCTAGCCATCCCCCTGAGCGAGCTGTTTCTGTTCTAGAAGTTTCCATGCCTGTTGCTGAAAACTCTTTTTCTTTTGCTGAAACTATTGTAATCTAATATTTTCTCCAAAGACCCGGCACCAATTTGCCCCCCCGCCTGTCCCTGTCTCTCCCAGTGACCGAGGGACCTTGGCTGTTCCTTGATTGAACCAGGTGGGCCAGGTGGCACCCAGCCCAGAACACCAACTTGAATTCCTCCTTCTACCCATTTTCCTTTCTTTCTACCCACTCTGTCTTATTTCTTTTTCAAGCCACATATTCATACACATACCACTGACCTTCTCTTTGGTGGAGAAGGGGGAGCCACGAAGGCAGAGAGAAGAATAAAGGTATAGGGTACAGAGGCTCTAGCATCTTAAAGGAGATGCTGTTACTAGATGCGCAGATCACTGTCCCTGCTTCCATTCCCCACCTCAGCAGCCCCCAGAGGGGCTCACCAGGGAAAGCCTCCCCCCCTCAGTTTTCCTACAAGACCTTCTCACCTTCCCCCCACCAGCCTTCACACCATATCCCTCAGCCCATCTTTTCACCATTAACACTGTTGCACCCACCTCTTCTGGCATCACTCTCCTCCACACCTGACAAGCTGCACCCACTTCATAGAGCCATCCTTTTGCCCCAATCTGTGCACCACCACCCCCATATGAGACGCTGAAAATGACAAGGGAGAAGGAATGGGACCTGGTCCCCCCTTCTCAAATGAGGACATTTTGGTCTGAGACCCAGCAAATGCAGACAGACACACCATGGAGTGAACAGATGAGTTTGCCCGAAAGAAAAAGATTAACAATTTTAAAACAGTAAAAAGAAAAAAGAAAAAAAACACTGGCAGGGGGCCGGCTGAGTGGCGTGTTGGTTAAGAGCTGGCCTGGGACGCCAGAGGGCCCCGGTTCGGATCCCACATATGAGGGCCAGTGACGCTGCCCTCTACAGCTAAGATGCTGAACAACAGCTCAACCTGGAGCTGGGATGCCATGAGTCGCCAACGACGGCAGGTGGGTTGCCATGGGCTACAGTGTGTAGTCAGCAGCCAGCGTGAGTGGCCAGCAGCCAGCGTGAACGGCCGTCCATGAAGAGCACAATGATGGTGCCAACTTGGGCCAGTGAAGCAACATCCACCACAACTAGACTGAAGAACGAAAGGACAGCAACTTGTTTGTTCCCCTTCCCCCAATTCCCCAATAAAAATCTTTAAAAAAAAAAAAAAAAAACCTGGCAGGGAGTGAGTGAAATGTTTAATGGATGATTGATTAAATAAAAATGAGCTAAATGCTCTGCATCATGATCAAAGACACGATTCAGATTCGACTTGAGGAAATCTAAAACCAACGCTGGAACACAAAAATGACACATACACGCTCAATAATGATCAGACAATAAGTTACATTTCTAAGTTGCTAAATCACAGGGTGCTTGAAACAGAGAGGCGAAATGAGGAGAAAAGAAAGATGAAGATGTGGAGTTTGGGGAAGGTGTGTCTGGGTTCCAGCAGGTGCTCAGCTAAGCTTGGACCTGGCTCACCTCCAGTCCCTACCCTCTCCCCATCTTGCCTAGATGAAATTCTTCCTCAGAGCCCCACAGATCAGGCCTTTGGAGAACAGAGCCTGATGGAGCTTGATATCATTCTGAATAAGACTTCTGGGGGACTCCTCTGGCTTTGAGCCCTCCACATATGTAATGACATTCCACCATCAGGTTTCTCAGGAGACTGAAAACTCAGACTAGGGACACGGAGGGGGTGTTCCTGAGAGGGAGGGCTGGCATGGAGAGGGGAGCTGAGGCCCAATCATTTCAATCTGCCAGGCACAGTCCACACCCACTGCCAAGCACCCACCTGCACCCCTTTCCCCCTCCAGAAAAAGCCCAGGATTCAGAAAAATGCCTTTAACTCAAACTTATCAACCTGGTTCCCAAGCTACACGGCAGCTCAGCAGAGGCAGAAACCATCCTGGGCATCAGAGCAGGAGGAAAAGAGGGTGAATGTTTAAGAAAACAGAACAAAACAAAAATCTCAACTGTTTTAAAAAGAACTGCATGCCGGGAAACACTGACGTGATCCAACACAGCATCAGATTCCAGCATACTTCACACTTAGAGAAATTATATAATTGCGTGTTCTCCAAAAAAACAGAAGAGTACTTCCAAAATGTGTATTTTTCTCAATTGGCTTCATGGTTACTGCTGTTGCTCTGTTGCTCTGACGGTGTCAAGGTCCAGCAGAATTTAGTTGCTTCCTGGGGGACTTTACTCTTGTCCCTGGCTGGTAAGTTCAAAGTTGCCAGAGAGTGAGATAAAAATTTACTCCTGAGTCTGGGTGTGTCTCCAAAAACCATCTACACAAAAGCCTGCTGGCTGCCTGCTGCCCTCCTGCTTAAATGTGCCAGCACACATGGAGCTCAGCAAACTCTGGCCCCCCCAGGCCCTGTGTTGGGGCCCCCACTCAAGGAGAACAAGAAACTAGTCCCCAGCACCACGGCTGCGAAAATCCAGGCCAGATGTGGGGTGGGTTTGCAGCTGCTACAAATTTTTACATATTAAAAAAAAAGTCATGTGCATGTCAAAAGGACAAGGTCTGCTTTCCCACTGGCTGCCTGCTCCAGAGCTCACGGCTCAGCTCAGGTGTTGAAAGGATCAGCCAACCCTATCAATCTCCTGGGGCAGCAGACGCCCCTCCCCTGTGGTCTGGCCGTGGGCCCTGTCCCAACCCCCCAGCATGGGGTCCTCAATGTTGGCCCCCAAACAAAGAGGTGGGTTGGCTCTCCAGGCAGGAGGCAGAAGGGGCCGCACCCCAGGAAAAAGAAAAGACACTTTTATGTTGGCTACAGCCTGTGTTTTAACCAAAGGGAATATAAATTACTCTGTGCCCAAACTAGCACTATTGTTTTAAGAAAAGAGAATAAGGAAAAAACCCAAAACCCATGCCATATCCCAAGGTGGCCCTTTCTGGGGCTGTCCAGGCTGTTGGGACATGGCTCGGGGTGAAGACTCTTTGAGAGGCTTTTAAGTTTGGGAAAAACCAGTCACCGGATGGAGAGAACTCTGGAATCCTTTCACCAGAGATCTAGAAAAGCAGGTGAACAGGCGGCCCCAGGTGTGGGATCGCAGAACGGACGTCCACCCTACCAGGGTTCTCTGAGGAAATCCACACCCGTGGGCCTCCCAGCCATCGTAGCCACGTCCCCAGATGCAAAGGGAAATAGATTAAAAACTTCTTCAGCTGACTCCTTCAAATCAATCAGCACTTTTGCGGAGAAAAAGAGAGGAGGTGTGTAAATTGAAATATTTGATCCAAATCAGATTCCCAGCTGAAGAGTTTGTTCCCTCCTAGGGTTCCTGGTGGGATGAGGTCTTAGGAGGCCTGAGCGGCTCTCAGTGTTTGTGGCGACAGTTGATTTTGTCTTCTGACTGCTCCAGGACACCCAGCATCTCCTCGATGATGGCCCGCAGTGCCCTGCCCAGTTGGTCTGCATTGTATGGCTTGCCCAGAGGGGGCACGTGGACAAAGGCTGAGCGGCCGTGACTCTGGTACAGAGATGTGTAGTAGGTGAAGTCACAGAGGTACCTAAGCCGCAGGGTGTAGTAGGCAGAAGGGAGATCAAAACACGGTCAGACTAACAGAACAGGCTCCATCCAAACCCCCTTTAAGACTCCCAGCCTCACCAGAAATCCACAAAATGGAATACTGCTTCTCCCTCCCCAGGTCAGCAAACATGGTAACTCTTAGCGCTGGTGTGTATATGGGGATGTAGGCAGTGTGAGACAGCTGTTAGTGGGGTTGCATACTGCCCCAGGGGAAGGCAACCTGGTGGACTAGCAAAATTACAAATGCATAGTCTTTATGACCTGATATTTCCAGTTTTTAGAAGCTCCCTTTAGGAGCCATCTGTGTGAGGGCACAAGAAAGCTAAACAAGGTGCTTGCTGCAGGGTTATACATAAGGGCAGAACAGGAAGCAACCTGCTAGGGTCTGAATGTTTATGTCTGCCCCCTCCCCTCCCTTTCCCCAGCTCATATGTTGAAGCCCTAACTCTCAATGTGATGGTATTAAGAAATGGGGCCTTTGGGAATTGAGAGTCTTCATTCATAGGGTTAGGGCCCTTTTAAAAAAGACTCCAGAGAGCTCTCTCACTCCTCCCACCAGGTGGGGACACAGCGAGAAGCCAGCTGTCTGGAGGAGGGCCTTCATCAGAACATGACTATGCTGGCGCCTTGATCTTGCACTTTCCAGCCTCCAGAACTGTGAGCAATACATTTCTGTTGTTTATAAACCCCCCAGTCTGTGGTATTTTGTATACCAGCTCAAACAGACTAGGACACAACCTAAAGGTCCACTGACAGAGGAGTGGCTTAATAAACTCTGGTTTATCCACACAGTGGAATACTATGCAGCTGTTTTCGAGGCATGCAGTAGGTCCAGAGAAAGAAAGAGAACTCACTAAGACCCAGTCACATGTCCACAAGTGAAACCGAGGAAGGGAACGCTCAGGAAATTGCACACCATGTAACCCCATCCACGCCAAAGCAAAGCAAAACAGGACAAAATCCTAAAGCAGCAGGCCAAGTGTTCTATATATATAGGGAAACATGTGGGTGATAGGAGATTTCATAATTTAAGTCTAATTTAACAGCGAGATCACGGGGAAAGGAGAGAGGGCAAGAGAAAGTTTCACAATGGGAACATATGAAAACACATTCCAGGATTGTCTATGCAATTTAAAAAGGGACTGATGGCAAATTCAGTTACTCCTACATTTAATCAGTCAACTATATTTGCCATCTGCTGCCTTTGGGCTGGAGAACTGTAAGGAGTATTCAGAAATCAAGGTACCTGGTGCTGACAGGGAGTAGAACAGAGGACATTACTTGCTCTGGGAGGTTGGGGAGGCCTCCCTAAGGAGGTGACATGTTGGAGCTGAGACCTGAAAGAGGCCTTATCAGAGGGAGGTGAGTTTGGGCAGAGGCCAATGCATGTGCAAAGGCCCTGAGGCTAGAGTGAGGTTGGTGTGTTTGAGGAACAGAAGGAAGCTGGTTTGTGGGTCTAGAATATAGTGGGTGAGGGGAGAATGGAGGCAGATGAGGGTGGTGAGGTGGGCAGGGACCAGACCGAACAGTACCTAGGGGTGGTGAGGAGAGGCTGGGATTTTATCCTAGGTCAGCGGTTCTCAACCGTCCTAATGCCACGACCCCTTAATACAGTTCCTCATGTTGTGGTGACCCCCAACCATAAAA